ACATACTACACAGGAGAGAACCAACAAACAACTCTACTCACATACTACACAGGAGACAACCAACAAACAACTCTACTCACATACTACACAGGAGACAACCAACAAACAATTTGGGTCGCATTGGTGAGAGGCGGCGCATTAACAGTGCACGACAACAGTGCTTCGACCCTTCCCTTTTCAAGTACTTCTCAATTAAGTAAGTCTTTACGTACCTCGTTTGTCATATCTTCCATAGTTCGTTCACTAGTGTTAACCACTGAGCTATTAAACAGCGGGCTTGGTGTGGTTTTCCAGTGGAAGCGAGGAGAACTTTCAGCCAACTTTAACAGATAGTTTTGCAAAGAACACTGCATTGCTAATAAACATTTCATCTAAAGAAAAGAAGCACCAAAATGAAGTTTTACTAGAGATAATTCAACTCTTAAAAACGAGAATTCGTATGAGTACCAATAGAGCGCTTTCAAGTGACGTCACAGCGGCCATGTTGGTGTTCCAAAACAATATACATTTTCTATCTCGGGGAATTGAACTCTATTTTTATGAAAAAACTGTGCAAAAGGGTTTGTATTATTTGGTCACCAATATGGCTGCCTTCTCACGTGAGTGGAAACGCGCTATTCAAATATTTTTTTAAATAAGATAATATTAGACATTGATTGCGTTACTTACTTTGTCCACGACGCCATATGGTAGAGGAGTATCGGATAATTCCGAGACATGCAATCTCCTGTCTGTGAGGCACGATTGCATTGAAGCAAGTTCATTTTTGATGAGTGAACGGAGTCTACGAATAGTGACGATGTCCCATGCAAACCTGCAAAGTAACACCCAATGTACTGTTATATTCTTTATTGCTTGTCAGTAAAAATAAAGTACAGCAAACATCCCAAAAGGGGGAACACAAAGTAAGACCCAGTGTACTTTTATAATCCCTATTCCTTAGCAGTAAAAATAAAGTACAGCAATCATGTCAGATGTTGAAACACAAAGAGTTCTGCGCTGAAAACATGGGATTCGACGTACTTCTGGGAATAGGGTAATAGAATCACCAATATTAAGTACAATGTAAATGGAAAATGGAAATGAAAAATTATAAAATATCTGTCAAATGACAGCCATTTTTCTTTAAGTTTTGTGGGTTGTAAAGCGAGATGTCAAGGTTTTTTTAGAAGAAAATTCATCTGGAGTACAACATCTCCTCGATGTACATCTTACCGTGCTAATAACTTCTTCGTGTAGTAGCTATCTTGTGAAGTAGACATCATGTCCATCGCCATAAAGCTAGCACGATATTTATTCAAGTCCTCTTCGAATAAGTCGAGTTCTTCAAGGCAGTGGTTCTGGGAAAATACAATACATTGGGCATGGTACATAGTTTTCATGGTGTTGTTTGCAACTATAAACTAGACCAAAATGTATATTATATGTGGAACTCTAAATTGACCTGTCGTCTTAAAAACCAAGTTCGGCAGGCAGTGCATGCTAAATATTCAGCACACGAGATTTCATAATTCCGAAAATAACTCCAGTTAGCTCTATCTTTTGACACATGGCGCTTTTCTAAGACGAGTATGGCCACTGGAAATATTTACCAAAGGAGCTCAGTTTAAAGACAAAAGTCCCCTGAGTTCAAAGGGCTCTTTTGCTCTAGAGGTCAATGCCTTCTCACTCCTGGTCAACACTAAGTAGATCTTCTTTTCTTACCCTGGGTTATAGGCTATTTGCAGAACGTAATCACGTGACTATTACAGGATGGGAAGTTATTTTCAAACTTGCTTCATTCAAAAACCTTTGCTGAATTACATAATATCATATTCAAAACGTTTTCCAAATTGCTTTTTGCCAATTGCTTTTTCTCCCTTATAATAGATAATTTCGATTTTAAGATACGAAGCAATTTAAAGCTTGTTTGCCATCCAGCCTTCCCCAAGAGACCTTGAGCTGAATTGATTTCTTATGAAATTCATATATCACCACGTGACTGTTTGTTGCAAGTGGCCTATTTCTAAAAGCTGGGCTGCCCCGGGGATTACTGCAAACTAAGGATCTATCAGCAAACTAGTACGTACCTTATAAGCTCCTCTTCCTGAGACAAAACACTGGATTTCTGCACTACTGACATCGTGTCTTTCATCTCGAGGACCTTGTTCCACGCCGCGTTTCAAAAACACCGAATCACTCACTTCTGTCACTTTAGAAGAACTAAATGTTTGAGCAGAAGTAATGCTAGGAATCTCTGAGGAAGCTAAGCTTGTTGGAGGAACATTATTGGTCGGAACCATTTCTTCTTCTTGTGGAGTCCTTCTAAATTTACTTCGAATAGACATCAAACTAGATAGAAATTTTCTGATATTGTGAACTGCAGTTTTTTCATGAGTAGATTCGTGCTGAAGTATTTTACTTGTATCTTTATTGTCTTCTGTTGTTTCAGCTACCAAATCAGCCTCATGAGTTTCTGTGCAAGTTAATGGAGTACCAAGGGAATAACGACGAGTTTCAAGTTTATAAGCTGAAAGATTGCGTTCGTCAAATGATCGAGATTTGGGTCTCAACTCTAGGGTCTCATCTTGAAAGGCAACTCGTTTCTGTTTGGTCGTTGACCAAGAACTTCTCTTGCTAAAAGCAGATCTTCGAATCTCAGCGTCAGTTTTGGGAGTAGATACTTCAAAAGGCACTAACAAGTGTTTTTGAAACTCAATGTTGTCACTATTTACAATGGAATCATTCTGGTTCTCCAACGAGCTGGTTTTTACATCATCTACATCGAGACTTTCCGTTGAACGTTTCTTCACTTGAGTATCATCTTCAAAACCACTACTTTCATCACTATTATCCCTCCTCAGCAGTCTTATCTTTCCGTTATCTTTCTCTGCTAATCTTTTATCTTCAATTTTGTCAAGATTTTCCTCGCTGGTTGCTATTTCTTCTAACTCAAACGAATCATGATGTACTGTATCTGATGCCAAAACTCTAAGAATGGGAGGTTTCAAGGGTCTAKTTAAGTTGAGGTTTACACTATCGCCAGCCGAGCTGATTCCAGATTCATTATCTCCTTGATTAGTTTGTGCATCTCCGTTCGAATTTTCTGTACTTATAATTCTATCATCATCCTCATAGCCTTGCTCGTTGTTTTCAATATCACGTTCTACAGACTCATCTTTGTTAGTATGTTGCTGATTATCTTCACTAGGGTCTTCTTGGAAACTAGTGTTATCGAAAAGAAGTCTTTCTTTACAAGAATCCTCAGACTGTCTACGAGATATTTTGGTCAAGACAGAGATGTTGCCGACCGATTCTATAGAGTCTTCTTGTGTGTTTGATATCTTGGTTCTTGCCGACCCACTGCCATTAGACGATACTTCCAGTTCTTCAGTGACGGGCTCGAGAAGGTTTCTGTCGTGTTGATAGTCTCTGCTAGGATTTTGATTACGATTCAGCCTCAAATGCCTCATCAAATCAAAGGAATTCTCATCATTCTGGTCTGGTTCAACGATTACTGGTAGAGATGATATCTGAGGGTCGTTGTCGTCTGGTTCGCTGAGATCAGTGGTTGATCCAAATGAACTTGTTGAGGTTACAAATCGTGTTGGGAGTCGTTCGATAATCTGGTTACGCCCCGACCAAGACGATGAATATGACTAAAGAAGATAAAAGATGTCAAGGTTAATGATCAGTTAGGCTTGGGACCGTTCATTTTTTATGGGGCAAGCCCAAATAATTAGCTAAGTAGAAAATAAACAAATAAAATTCTGTTTTAATAGTGGGCTACGTAAAAAAATTCAGGTTGGGAAGGGGTCATACATTTTAAAACCTACAATTCACAACCCCCCCCCCCCCCCCCCCCCGGTAAGAAATGAACGGTCCCTAGGGCAGTGGATTCCACTGCAATACAAGCTGCGTGTGCAGCCTTCAACAAATCAAGAAGCCTGGGCCTGCTTGTGATATTTTTGTGGATGGGAGCCTGAAGGTTGTCCAGCTGTCACGCAACATTCTTGCATAGCAAGCCTCTGAAAGACTATTGATCGTACTACCACTATGGGCAAAGCTTCTTTGTTGCGAAGACAGGCAGCTTTTAATTCTCCCAACAAAGAAATTATATTGTAAGATAAAAAGTGATAAAAGGACGTTCCTCTGTCACTTGTGAAGTTACTCGCCCTTGGAAAAAATAAATCACTTACCATTGAATTATTATCAAAAACATCATCTTCCTCTTCATCGATATTCCTTTTGATCACATCAAGATCAATTCCTTTGGCTGATGAAGAGGTGACCAAGAATCGCTCTGGAACAGTCATGCGGCAATCTCCACCAAGTCCTAAACTTAACAGTACATCCTCAGCGTCGTATTCTCTGGCCTGCAGAAATGACGTCACACTGTGCCTGTATTCATAATACACACTGTTAGACAGGATGCACGTAAAAAAACTTTCACTGTTTGCTTAATTTTTTTTCATATCTATAAAGTCAATTATAAAATATTTGAGATGTAACGCCAGCACTGATTAGTTGGCTAGAATGTTTATATCAAAGGAGAGGCACACTCGCACAAAATTGCTCAAAAATATTTCATAAAAGCAATATACAACGGCTGCTTATGTCTCCTCATTGTGATATAAACTTTCTGGGAGCTGCAGAGCACTCGAAAAGCAAGAAACTTGGCTACGCCTCGTGTTCCTATGCTAGCTTCTCTCGTGCTGTACAGCTTCCGGCGTGTTTATAACACAGACAGAGACAAACAAATAGACAATCATACAAAGAAAGACAGTCAGACAGACAGACAGACAAACAATTAAATAAAATAAGAAGAAGTACACATCAGCTAGATAGGAAAATGATTGATACTCAGATGAATGGCAGGATGAAAGGCTCGTATAAAACAACAAATTAAAAGCCTGAAAAAATGCAGCGTCCTAACGTATGGATGGGTAAGAAGGGAGTTATACCTGCTTTGGGAAGAAAGTTCTGAGCTTAAGCTGTCGACAGAGTGGAATACAGAGCTTCCAGGGCTGTGAGTTAAACTGAACAGTCTTCTCTTTTCTGAACAGCTGCTGTTATCCTCTGCCAAATTATTGTTCCCATTTACTTTATTCTCTTCCTTTGGATTTTCACTATAAATAAAATGGCAGGATTATCAAGGTTTGTAATAAATATGTATGCATAATGTACAATATCACAGTACAGTGTTGGCTTAGTAAACATCACATCACATACACCCTGCAGCTAGTGGATGTATGTGCATGCATTGTACAATATCACAGTACAGTGTTGGCTGTGTAAACATTACATCACATACACCCTGCAGCTAGTGGATGTATGGGCATGCATTGTACAATATCACAGCACAGTGTTGACTGCATGAATATTGCATCACATACACCCTGCAGCTAGTGGATGTATATGCATGCATTGTACAATATCACAGTACAGTGTTGGCTGAGTAAACATCACATCACATACACCCTGCAGCTAGTGGATGTATGTGCATGCATTGTACAATATCACAGTACAGTGTTGGCTGAGTAAACATTACATCACATACAC